GTTGTAATAAAACTTTAAGAATCATTTTATGTTCTACTTTTCAATGTTCCCATGTCAAGAAATCTCTGGTCTTTATTAAAATGCACCCTGTTCTACCCTTAGGATCCAAATTGTAGTTTTAAAGTGCACAGCAGATGATGTGACTAACAATCTTGCAAACTCCTGCCTTAATGAAAGAGAACGGGTGTTCTTCTGACCAGGGAAATCCATATGCATAGTGGAAAAGATCCTGTCTTTTCTTATCACACCTGAGCCTTGTGTTGGAGGTAATACATCATGGCCATCTACCATGTGGCTTTTGCAGGTCAACAACTCCTCTGGGGAATGTGGAATGAAGTGTTCCTGTTTAAATCTATTCACTTCCACAGTCTTATTCAATGCATGGGTCCGTGGATCCACACTGACAGCTAGAATGTGATAGTCACTTGCCCTCTTGGACTTAACATGAAAAGAGTAGAGTGTTTGACTTTTATAGGAATAAAAAATACAAGAGATGATTGTATCTTTTACAGTGTCACCTGATAATTTGGATGTTGTGTAATTAAAGGTTATGGGAGTGTGTATTCTGTTATGGGCATTAACAAGGAAGATATTTTTGGAATAACTCCATCATAAAGATGTTTTTCTTGTTTGCAGGCTAATTTAAGAATCAGGATGTTGAACCAAGAGCACACAGGCAAATTCATGATGGTCTTTGGGTCTTCTGGGAAAAGTGATGATAGATGCTGTAACAAAAATCCTAAAGTCTCTGTGGCATTGCACAATAATGAGGCTAAGGGAAACTTTGTTCCATACTATCATTCAAGAATTTAGGTCTCTTTCTAATTGACTACTATCTTTAAATATGGCCCTACAGATTACTGCATAATGGAAAAAGAGAGGAAAATATAGCAGGGATTGGCAACTTTTTCTAATGACCTAGATGATAAATATTTTTTATTTTTTTGAGCCACTTGGTTTTGTTGCAATTACTCCAACCTACCACTGTATGGAAGAGAGATGATTGTTCCAATAAAACTGTATTTACAAAACACAGTTTGGTTTGTATATAGCTAGCAGATACAGTGTACTGACCCCTGAACTAGTCTTGTGTACAATATACTAATGATTCAGACATAGAAATAGCATATATTACTTATGCTCATTCTATTGGCCAGAAGCCAGTCAGATCAGCTTACTCTAACTGCAAGAGAAGCAAAAATATTGTTAAATTGGATGACCAGAAAAGATAAGGATATTATGGGTTCCAGGAGTCTCTGCTGTAATCTTAATGTGAACAGGCAAACCAGAAGCTTCTAATGATTCAGCTATATGGTTAGAATGTTAGACAAATTAAAGTGGTACTATTTAAAATTTTTGATTTTTTAATTTCATTTTATTGGTACATTATAACAGAGAGATTCATAATACCATATTTATATATGCACATAACATAATTTGACCAATCTCATTCCCTGGAATCTTCTCTTTCCCTCCCTTCCTCTCTCCCTTTAATCCATTTGCTCTACTTTACCAATTTCCCTTCCAACTGATCTCTCTTTTTATTAATATTATCCTAGTTATTATTTTAATGAGTAATGTATATAAGTGAGATTCATATATATATTATATATGAGTGTTCATATTACATATACACATATACATACATGATTCATTGTGGTATGTTTGAATATGCACATAGCATAATTTGGTAGATTTCATTCCCTAGCACTGACATATGGTAAAAACTCCAGAAAAGAACCATTATATGAGGTACTTTGAGAATTATGCTTTCATGGTCTTGGTCCTGATGTTTCATATATCTGGAGGAAAGATTTTTACAATTAAAGAGAAGTGGATAGTGCTGCCTCAATCCTCCCTAGTTGAAGGTGGAGTAGGGAATCTTCTACAGACACGGCTTTTATCAGAAACTCAACCTAAAGAGGCCTGGGAGAAGACATCAACAGCATTCTCTCCTATGTTTTTTTTTGAATTAGGTTGGAAGATCCATGTTTACATTATTTTTATTCCATATAATTGATAACCTCCCCAAGACAAAGAGTACATTTTATTTCTCTGACAAAACTTTCTCTTTTTATGATCTTTCTTTTAGCTACATCTTTCCTAACCAAGTGGCCAATAATAAATATATTTTGAACTTAATAAGCTAATACTCATACAAGACTGCAGAGAGAATATATACCCACAATTTTCAAGTGCAATTTTACTTTCTTTGGGGATTTTTATACTTCATTAATGTGCTCTTTTCTTTTGCTATTCCAAGAACTATATATTTCCCCAAGTTAGCCCAAGGCCAAATTGTCTATATGAAGAATATAGGATTTGTTACAGAGAGAATGGAAAGAGAAAGAATAAGGTAATGTTTAACTTTTACATGAATTGTGGGACTTTTCAGTAAGTCTCAAGAATCAAATTTTGTTTAAAAATTTTTGTTTTTGTTATAAAATATGTAATAAGCAAATATGAAAGATTAGCATGCATAGAATTTTAAAGATAATAATAGTTGTCACAATTTTTAAATTTATATAATTTTAATGATGTCACTGCTTAACATTTTTATCTGGTAAGAAAGCCACAAGTCTTGTTGCTTGATAGTGGGAGGATAAGGATAGAAAAATTTTTTCGAAGTAGAACTTAGAGATATTTATGGAAGAGAAAAATAAAAAACATGTGAAAGTTAGTCAGACCTGTGCCTAGTTCCCTACTTGGGTTTTTTCTTTTTCTTTCTTTTTTTTTTTTTCCTGTTTGGACTCTAGTTTTTTCAATTTTTCAAATTTAGATTTCTTAATTTACTCTTGGTTTAATATGTCTGTGTTAGTCAGCTTTTTGTCACCATGACCAAAATACCTGACAAGAACAACTTAGAGGGGGAAAAGTTTATTTCAAAATTCAATCCATGGTTAGCTGACTCTATTTTTCTGGGCCCAAGACCAGGGAAAAAATATAAGGCTGAAAGGCATGCACCCAGTGATCTACTTCCTCTAGCCACTCCCTAATGCCTACAGCTGCATACATTAATCCATTCAAATTATTAATCCACCAAATGGATTAATCCACTAATTAGGTTACAGCTCTCAAAATCTCAACATTCCTGCATTGTCTCACACATGAGCTTTCAGGGGACACCTCACATCCAAACCATAGCAATGGCATAGCTGAAAACAGAAGTAGCTGAGAATCTAGTCAAGAAATATGCTAGAATGAGGAGGACTACAGAGTAGATTGTCTGAGCTAAGACCAGGTGGGAAGTCCAGCTCATAACTCAAAGGAGTCCATACCACCAGTGCCAATGGTGTGGAGTTAAATCACCCAAGGGATACTCACAGGCCCTGACTTAGTCAAGAGAAAAAACACTACAGTTTAAATCTGTTATAAACTTTAGGATCAACAGACTGAATGACTAGTTATCTTCATATAGACAAGAGACACACTCTTGTACACCATGAGGATTAGATTATAATGTGGCACAAAGATTCATTCCAAGTGGATCCAAGGACCACATCTAGCCCCTGAACCAAGAGTTCCTACATTTCCACTCTTCCCCAGACACCAAGAAGCAAATTCAAGGAGAAAAAAGATGGAAGAAAAGCCCCTGAGAAGCACTTTTATCCAAGAGAAACTGAGTAACTCCTAAAGATACTATTTAAATTATAAGATCAGACTTCAAATAAACAGATTGGACATTAGAGTAATTTTTTTTTATGCTAACCATCTTGAGAGAAAGGCTTATTAGTTATAGACAAACCAAGAAGTCATATTTTTCTCTGCAAATCTGAATTGATTTGTCAGTTAAATATTTTCTCTCCTGTTACACTGGCTAATGAATTAAAATTACAAGAAAATTTTAAAAAGAAAACCACGTAAAGTTTTTTATTGCATTTCAAACTCTCAGCTAATTGGAAACATCTCCATTATCTATACATGTATATTTACATTCACTTATTCTAAAATAATCAATTAAAATAAGTAGAAAAATCATCTTCTCTTAATATTTGACAGAGATGAATATTGTGTGTTTCCAAAACTATATAGTAATATACTTCATAGGCTGACTTTATATATACATAGTAGTTTAGTTTACCTAAAAAAATGAAAATATGTCCATAGAAATCTATCATACTGTTAATAGGAAAGTTGCTTCCTTCTTATGCAATTGATAATATCACAGAAAAAAAGGCAAAAGCACTAAACATTTTCCTGTTCTTACCATTGACTGAAGTCACATGCCATTTTCTTCCCTTAAGCTTCCTGACTATTCTACATGTTATTACTTTGTGCCCAAGATGGAAATTTATCAGAAATAAATCCAATAAATATTAAAGAGGGGAAGCAGTCTCATGAGGGGTGGGCACTTTTCCTTCCACTTGTTTATAAAGGAATATTTTATTCATTTCTCACTCTGCCTCTCCAGGGTAGAATGCAGAGTCCTCTTTACTGTTTCTCACCATTCCACTCAGCTTCTCTGTCGCCACACATATGTTTGACTTAGATGAGCCCCTCTGTCTGTTTGGGAATGTGTGAAGCAAGCTAAACCTCCCTGATGAGGGTTGAGGGTTGCATTTCAGAGACGAAGTTCTTGCCTGGCTGGTTGCTGGAGCTGTGGTTAAAGGCTGGGGAGCTACTGGGACTCTTGCAAAGTCTCTCAGCAGCTGCACTATCAAGCGGCCAGCCTGGCACTTCCTCCCTACCTGCCCCTGCCTCCAGACTGCAGTGGATCCGTAATTCAATAGAATTCAAATCCTTAGCTGCCTGGAGCAGCCAGGCAGCAGGCCCAGAGGCCCTTTCAAATCAGGGTTTTTACAGTTATTTTAATCCACAGGAGATGCCAGCATTTTTCTGTCTCACAAAGACAAGCAACACTGTGCAAATACAGGCTGGTAATACAAAGTCTTGAGGAGGCAGTTGAGCCAGATTCTTTTATAAGGGGAAAAAAGGAGAGTAAATCTATGTATAATGTTCATTGTGCTAATCTGTTGTCTATTTTTCCTTCTCAGGAACAGATTCAGATAGGAAAGGGAACAATAAGTTAATGGTAGGTGCAAGTACATGGAAACAAACCATTTTGTGCAACAAACCTGCAGCCAGCCCAGAGCACATCATGCGACTCTCTGCTTCAACTGAGTAAATATTAGTCACTTTGTCTTCCTGTTGATAAGGTTGAATTAAATCATGGATGATTGCAATCATTTAACTCTGTTTGGGCTTCCAGATTTGGCTTAGCACTAGTTATTATACAAATCTGAGGAGCGATAGGGACTATGTCGCCTGGGAAGACCCTTACAGCTTACCCAGTACAACCTCTGGGATCAGACTCTCTGGGTTCAAATTCTCCTCTGCCAGTTACTACCCATGAGAATTTGGGCACATTTGTAACACCTCTATGCTGAGATAAAAAAAGATGTTGGTGGTACCTGGAATGATTCTTAAATAAATAGATTAATTGGAAAAATGTAAAGCAGTATCTGGCATAGTAGTACCAATCTAAGAGTAGAGTCTGTAGACCAGCAGTTTCAGCATCAGCATCACCAAGAGCTTATTAGAAATGCCCATCCTCATATTAACTTTATTGGAATCTTATTTTTAATAAAATTCCTGCAGACATTAAATATTTGAGAAGTGTTACTATGTAAGTATTAATATTGTTATTTCAGAATGGCTCTAACTAGCTAATGTGGTCGAGGCATCCTTAGTGATTTCCTGTGATTTCCCCTTTCCTTTCAGGTTCTCAGCCCAAACAAGAGACTTTCTCCTCTCTGACACTGATATCTGATTATCTTGACTTCTTGTGGCCAGTAGATTGTGCTCTTGTGAACCTGTTTTCTGTATCATTCTCAATTTGCATCTTGATGTTTACTTTGCATCCAGATCCTTATGTTTCTGATTCCAGCCATCTAATTTAACCCAAGTCTCCATTAGCGTCTTTGCTTGTTAGCTTTATGGAATATCTTACTTTATACACTGCATCCTGATACCTTGTAGTTTAGATGGAAGGTTCTATGCCCAGTTGCCCATCCTGAACAAAAACAAGAATAATATCAGAAACTTATTAAGAGAAATAAAAAGTTGGAATTCTTTAATTCATCCCTCCTAGGCTCCACATTGCACAGAAACATTGGATTTTTATGGTTGTCTCCAAAAGACAATTTTCTAGCAGATTTTATAGCAGAGAAGAGAGCTCAGCCTTTAAAGAATGCAAAGGTCAACAAAGCAAAATTTGCTCTATTTATGGGATGGGTGTGACATTTGGACCTCTTAGCAGCCAACATTCTTTTTGGCTTTAGGAAAGAGTTCATTGCTACACCTGCTTGCTTTATTTCACATCAAATGGTCTTTAGTAAAGAGATTTGGAAACAGAGACCTTCCGTAGGCATTCATGCCAAGCTTATCACAATTCCATGATGCTTGGCCAATAATGCAATGAGAATAGATGACTTCAGGATGCCAGGGCCCTTGGTGTGTGGTGAATTGAAGGGACATAATTGTATGTGAAATGGACAGAAGAAAAGCTTCAAGGGCACACTGGCACCTAATGTAAAGCAGCAGAGCAGCCCTGTAGAGAGGATGGAATTCACAGCAATAAGCCTTGTATCCTGCCATGGATCAAATTGGAAAAGGGAAGAGGTTAGTTATTTGTAAACTGTGAGATTAATGTGACTCACAAACCATTTCAATCACGGTTGTCCAAACTGCTGGGAAAGATTGCTTAGCTTTCCACAATTATTGATGTTTCCTCTGCATATGGCACCATTCAAGCAGTCCAGGTAAGAAAAGAATAAAACATAGGTGCTTCTTTCCAAAGAACTTACGATATGTGTGTGTGTGTGTGTGTGTGTGTGTGTGTATGATGAAATTAAAATTTAGCAAGGAGTAAGTTGAGGTTCTAAAAAAAGTAACAGAAGAGGAATTACCCATGTCTAGCTTAGAGTGCGAACAGCGTTAGATTGGCTGTATGCATGGATATTTCACTGCTGACTTATGCAGAGTTCATTGTCTGTCCCTGACAACCAGTGGCCACTCCACAGAGACAGGGCCCTACTGCATGACAGTGAACAGAACAAAATATACCCTGCTTGCAGGCAGACATCCAGGAAAGAAAGTCCAGAAGGTGCTGGAAAGTGCTGCCTTAGCCCTCTCTTCAAAGTTCACCAAGATTGTTTATACTCTCTAGAAATATATCTTCTTTCCATGGACCCACTTGAAATCATTCCCCAAAATTTATTCTATTTTTAATCTACTGTAAGTCTGAATCTTTACAAGAAACCCAAAGAACAAGTACCACGACCACCACCATAATTTATTTTTCCTCAAATCTATAGATTTATTGTGGTGTCAGTGTTCATACATATCATATGTATGTGTGTATATTTTTATTTTTGTTAAACTAGTTTTCTGTTTGTTACTATAAAAATCAGCTTTAGAAATGAAGATTATATTTAATTAAAATGTGTGCCCTCCTTCCTTAATATATTTGTTACATTCTGATACGTCCTTGTGGTTATTATCTGCAGGGTCTTGATAGAGATGATTGCTGGAGAGCTCCTTTTCCATCAGCCTTGTTGAGATCTATTAGAGAAACACTAGGAGATAATACAAGAGGAGACTCAGGAGGAACAAGAAAGAAGCAGTTTTGGACTGTTATATGAAAGAAAGGTAAGATTGACTCCTTCATTAGGTATAACTAAGAGCAAGGACTAGAAGTCATGTGGAGATATTTTACATACACATAAAAGAAAACTTTCCTACAATGTGAAGCACTTAAAATATTTAAAAGGGCTGTCTTGAAAGATTGTGAATTTCCTACCTTTAGAAATGACAGCCGCGGCCCCCACCACCACCCGTTATTTAAAGCAATAGATGGCTGGTTGGTTAGATCAGAAGCTCTTAAAAGCTTATGCTAAAACTAGTGGCCTCACTGACTGTGTTAGATTAACCCCAGGGAGTGTGTAAAATACAAAGATTTTTTGGATATAAATTTGGATTCAGTGAGGTTTGGGTCCCCTAATGTAGATCAGAGTTTCCCAAAATGTGGCACGTTGGCATTTGAGAAAAGAGCAAAGCAGGAAAGTCTTTCTGACCTCCTCCCCTGAAGTAGACCTTTAGGACCTAGGAATGCTACTCTGACCATCTCCCTCCCTTCTACCCTGAAGAATCTCATGTGCCAGGGGTCCTACTCTTTACCCAGAAGAAAGGAATAAAGACACAGAGATGCCAAGTAGAATCTGAACAAACAGGACTTGCTAGGCTCCCCACAGTTGATGGCCATTAGATCTTATTATCACAGGAGAGGGGGCATCTCAAGATCCAACCTCAATTCTTGTGTTCTCATGAAAGAAAATTTAAAGTCAGACACCAAAAGCCATGCAAGACAACTTCATTAGGGAGACATAAAGTAAGCTCAAGCAGAGAGCGTTTCTAGAGTTGTTCATCTCAGAGCAGAGAACGACAAAGTGCTCTTTCCAAATTTATTACCATTTGATATTTGCCTTATGAACTGGGGACCACTTTATGCACTCCTTACCAGTCAGATGTTCAACTCTTCCTTTACATTGGGGAATGGTTTTGACCCTAATTGTTCCCTCTGGAACTGTCTTGGTAGCCATCCTATTCAGGGAGACTTCATCTACAAACCAATCCCATGTTAATGTAGGTATTGGGGTCAGTGGTGGGTCAGAAGTTACGTTAAGATATAACTAAATAAACCTTCCTTCCAAAATTTATGGAAGTACCTATAGTCATACTCCTGATCTCAGTAGACCTTGTCAAGTCAGTCTTTTTTTCTTGGTGCATTTCCCCAATTAGCCCCCGAGTCAGCTCCTTTTGTTTCTATTTGCTTATTCTCAAGGTCTGTGCACCTGATGATTTTCTGCTACAAGTTATTTATTCATCTACCTTGGAAGGAATTTAAAGAGACGTTGTAAGTAACTAAAGAACGCCCATGAATTAGCATCCACATATCAGAGAAAACATTTGCCTTTGGTTTTTTGGAATTGGCTTATTTTCCTTAGCATGATATTTTCCAGCTCCATTCATTGACCTGAAAATGCCATAAATTCATTCTTCTTTAAGGCTGAGTAATATTCCATTGTGTATATATACCACGTTTTCTTTATCCATTCATCTGTTGAAGGGCACCCAGGTTGGTTCCATAGTTTAGCTATTGTGAGTTGAGCTGCTATCAACATTGATGTGGCTGTGTCCCTGTATATGCTGATTTTTAGTTCTTTGGGTAGAAACACAGGAGTGGGATAGCTGGGTCAAGTGGTGGTTCCATTCCAAGTTTTCTGAGGAATCTCCATAACTGTTTCCATAACATTTGTACCAATTTGCATTCCCATCAGCAATGAGTGGACCTTTTCCCCCACATCTTCACCAACATTTATTGTTGCTTGTATTCTTGATAATTGCCATTCTGACTGGAGTGAGGTGAAATCTTAAGACTGTTTTGTTTTGCATTTATCTACTTGCTACAGATGTGGATGCTAATTCACAATAAGAGGGAGGCTAGGGAAGATTAGAGTTACTTTGGATTAGGTAGAGGGGAGTGAAGGGAGGGAGGCAGTATGGGAGTAGGAAAGACAGTAGGATGAATTTGACATTATTACCTATGTATTATATGACTATATGTCTGGTGTGTTTCTACATCAGGTACAGCCAGAAGAATGAGAAATGATATTCCATTTATGTATGACATGTCAAAGTGCATTCTACTCTCATGTATAACTAATTGGAACAAATTTAAAAAAAGAAAGAAAGAAAAAAGAACACCCGTGACCATCATATGCACTTCACTACTCCTTACAAACTACTACCTAAAATATTCCCTATGTCAAATGATATTTCTACCTAACTATCCACTATTTTATCAACCTATGCATAAAAATACACAGTTTTCTCCATTTTCTGGGGAGGGTGGTATCTTAATTTATGAAGGCTCTCATGTTTTGTAAAACTTTTATTAAACAAATTATTATGCTATTGTTTTGTTAATTTTTTATTATAGATGCATCTTGTGATAGCTTAGAAAATGATACTACCTTTTCTCTCCTGCAGGTAGGCATTCCCAAGGCAATTCTTGGGATCCAGGATTCATTAGGACTCACAGGATTCAGGAAAGATTTTATACTCATGGTTGCAGTTCATTGTGAGAGGATACAGATTAACATCAGTAACTGAAAAAGGGTGTTCAGGGTAAAGTCCAGGAGAAACCAGGTGCCCCTCTCAGTGGTCCAGATGTTCCCACTCAGTAGAGTTGCATGCAATTATATTTGATTCCCCCAGAAAGGTGAGACACCAAGTGTAAAGTATTGCCAACCAGGTAAGCTGACCTGATCTTTGGTTGTCAGAACTTTTACTGGAGGTCAGTGAGTGGCAGACTTTATTCAATCCCCAGCTCCACAGAGGTCAAATGGTTAAAGAATAGCCTCAGGCCTCAGACCCATAAAAACACTCTTAGTAGGTAAGATTTCTAAAGGTTCAGAGGTTATTTCTTAGGAGCTGGTCAAAAGTCATTTTTTTTTTTTAATTAAAGCATTGTTCCACGTCTGAGCAATGGGACTGCTGAATTAACCCTTTGCTGCAGAGAGCAGCAGGTGTGGCTTGACTACAGATCCCTTCAGCCCTCTGGAGGCCAGAGACCCAGCTCTGAATGGCCTGTTGGTGAGGATCAATGCAGGATCTGATGCAGGTGGGTTGGGAAAATTTTGGAATCTTTGTATTTAAATAGCTACCCAGATGATTCTTATAAACAAGGAAGCTTTGGGATCTTTGGGACTAAATGGCTTTTAAGGATTTTCAAACCATTAGTTCTATGATTTGGGGGGTTATAGTTTTCAGCAGATGCCTTCAAAGTATCCTTTTATTTCTGTGGATACTTATTCAATTAAGTTTTGGAGAAGTATTTTTAACTAATGCCACAGTGCCTTTGGAGATGAGGAAGGTGTGAGAAGAAAGTATCCCAACTGAATTTCCAGAGGTGTTAGAAAACCAACAGGTTAGTAGGGACTAGTGGCTAAGAGGGAGTCAGGGTGGAGGTCATTCTCTGACTGGCTTTACAAGGACCTTAAGACAAAAGACTCTTGTCATTGAAAAACAGTGTAATGAAGGTATGTGTGACAAACTGTTGAACAATGGTGTTTCCAGTTTTGTGGGATTTATACTTTATGGGAATTTCAGCACATCCTCTACCTCTCCTCGAGGTCCCAGTTGGATTATTAGCTAATTTGGATTAAATGAAACTATCTCCGTATGATAATTGTGCTTAAATATAAAGAAGACTTTTGAGATATTTATAAATGCCAATGTTGAGTAATTGCCAGATTATGATTTTGTAGTTCCTGAGTTTATCTTATAACAGATGATCTGGCCACAAAAGTTAGATACAATCTAGATATGAATTAATTTGCATTTTGTAAGCTTTCTCCTTTGCTGTTTGCCTCCAGTTAAATCTCTTATTTTATTCCCTACACATTACTGTGCTTTCTCTTGATTTCTGATATGTGTTTCTCTCCCAGATCTCTTTTTTTTTCTTGGCTATATTCTCATACTTCTTTTTCCAATGCCTACTTTTGCTTGTCCCTTAAATATAGTTGTGTCCCAATTATATCTATAAAGTTTTATTCTTAGGATCTTACCTTTCCCTCTATGCTCATTCCTACAGAGAGATCAGTAAATAGCAAATGTTTATTGAGTGCCTACTATATGCCAGAGAGTGTTCAAGGCATTAGGGACAAAGAGGTAACAGGCAAAGAAAGACCCCAGCTGCAAAGATTCAAAAACTTCAGCCCTTCATATATTTTTTTCTTTTCTTTTCTTGCAGTACTAGGAATTGAACCCAGGGGTGCTCTTCTGGTGAGCCACATCCCCAGCCCTTTTGTGTTTTATTTTGAGATAGGAGTTTCACTAAGTTGCAAAGGCTGGCCTTGAATTGGGGGTTCTCCTGCTTCACTCTCTTAAACAGCTGGGATTATAGGCATGAGCCACTGCTCCAGAATAGCCCCTCACAGATGATCTTCCCATCACCTATACTTGGTTCTTCTCCTCTGCAGACCCAGTCCCAATCATAGTCTGAGACCCTCTGCTTTTGAGTCCTGTTAGACTGCATATCCACCACAGGAAAACACTGAAGTCATTAGTTTTCTCTGTAAACCTATTCTTTTCTTTGCCCTTTCTCTATTAATTAACACTATCCCAAGCTCCCATGTTAGTAAATTTGTCATCCTTTCTGTGTCTACCCATTTGCCCATCCTGTGTATTCTTCCTTTGATATGTCTTTGAAATCCATTTCTGTTTCTCTGTTTCTACTGTCTTTGTAAAGCTCCCCTTTGGCTCTCACCAGCACAGGTACAGCAGCTCTTAATTGCATCCAAGCTTTCAAGGGGATTTATACTTTATCAGAGTTTCAGCATATCCTATACCTCTCGAGGTATGGCTCCAGCGTTGTCTTCCTGTTCATACCTTTCTGTATCTCAGTTCCGGCTCACTTTCAAAACAGTAAATGATTCTTCCTGTGTGGTCCTCACATTCTCCCATCTCCCACCATTTTCTTTTCTGCACTTGTGCCCTAGCAACACCAAATGAGACAGAATTTCTTGCACATGCTCATGTCTTTCCAAGACTCTGTTGATCTCTGGGCCTGGGATTCCCTTTCTTTTGATCTTTTCCTTGATGAATTTCAACCACCAAATGTTAGTTAGCTCCAACCCTTCTTGTGTGAAGCCATCTCAATTTCCCAATGAACTGCCTGTACATCTCCCAGTTATTTGTTCATAGTTCTCTTACAACACCTTTTGCACAGTATTTTATGTTCCTAAGAACTTATTTGATGGCTGGTCTAGATGATCAATCTCCCTACTTCCCTTTTATGAATGCTGAAAAAGCAAAACAAAATCTCTGTTTCTATGATATCCTTAACAACTTAGTGAAGCCTTAGCAAATATCTAGATTATTGAACAATAGATGTATTTAACTGATACAAATGCAATTGCAAAATGCAAGCCTTGACTTGCTTGGTTTTCATTTAGCTGGGAATTTCATCTAGTACAAAAATAAAATTCTTTTTTTTTTTGTATCTTGAGTCTTTTTCTTCTTAAAATATATTCTGATAGAGGACTTGAACCTGAAAAATTATGACTCCAGTTTGTTTCATACATTATCAGCAGACAGATTGAAGAAACTGAAAGCATTGTGAGATTTTGCAAAGCATAATTGCTTTAGATTCTATGCCTATACTGTTTTTAATATTGCAGTTTAGATTTTAATGAAGAAAATACTGCATAGTGATAGGATTTCCTTTCTTTTTTTTTCATGGTTATTGGGATTATAAATGATAGGAGGGCATATATTTAATTCCTTTTATCCTATTTACATATTCATTCATAAGCTGGTTACAAATGTATTTTCACTACTTTTCATAGTAGGCTTATTGAGTTCAGTTATTACTTGAAGCTTTGGGACTTCCTTTAAGTTCTAGATATGGTAGGGTGAGATGCAAATAAGTTTATCATTGCGGTATTGTGCTGTAGGAGCACAGTCCTACTAATCTGATTGTGTCCACAGGGTGGATTTTGCAGACACACCTCAATTCATTTATAGCTCAGGATGACATGAGAGCTGGGGGACAATAAAGATTTAGCAATGCAACTGGGGTGTTAGTCTGTGTAGGGTTTTTTTTTTCCGGATTCTTCCTGGACTTAATGCTGTTTCCAAAAGATTTTCTTTTGTAGTAAATTGAATCTAAGGTTGTTAAGAAGCATAACAAAAGAAGATTTAGGATTCTCTTGGACTAAATATTTAAGTATAAAACCACTCGGGACACAATGAAAAAAAATGGAAATAATCATTGAGAGGCTCCACTCTCTAGGGACACAATATATACCCCAAAGCCATGTCCAGTGACCCACCTACTCCAGCCATATCCTCCTTGCCTATGGTTGCCACCTGGTTAATCCCTATCAGGGGATTAACACAATGATTAGGTTAAGACTCTCTGTCATTTCACTTTTAAACCCTCTTGCACTATCTCACACATGAGCTTTTGGGAAACATCTCACGTCTAAACCATGATAAGGATTATAGCTTGGGTCCCTGACCCCAAAGTATTTCCCTGTTACCCTGAAGCTGAATTTGAAACTTCTGTATTGCTCCCCATTGCCATATTTTTTCTATCCATTTTAAAAATGGTTTGTTCATGTGTTAACTTTGACTATTAGACTGTGAACTCCTGAGACCAGAGGCTGTCTTTCATTCATCTGGGCCTAGCAGCCTAGCACTAATTCTTCAGTGTGGTAGCAAATACACTACAAGTGGTTGTAGAATGATTATAGGAAACCAACTCTACAGGACTAGAATTTTTATTGCTGTATGACACTACTGGAAGTTTATATATATATATATATATATATATATATATATATATATATATATACACACACACACACACACACACACACAACATATATACACATATATATGTATGTATACATTTATATATATTTAGTTGTAGTTGGACACAATACCTTTATTTTATTTATTATTATTATGTGGTGCTAGGGTTTTTGAACCCAGCACCTCACACGTGCTAGGTGAGCTCTCTACTGCTGAGCCACAACCCCAGCCCTGAAAGCTCTTATTTTGAAGAGCTGGATTAAATATAATATCATCTAAATTTTATGGATATATTTGAATCATTGCCTTAAACTACTCTGTTTAATTTTGTTTTAAAATAAAAGCCATCTCTCTTGTTCTTTAGTTATTTAAACAGAATATTTAAAAATTTATACACAGACACACACACACACACATATATGTTGTAGATGGACACAATACCTTTATTTTGTTTATTTATTTTTATATGGTGCTGAGGATTGAACCCAGTGCCTCATACATGCAAGGCAAGCGCTCTGCCATTGAGTTACAGCCCCAGCCCCTAAATAGCATATTTTTAAAATAGAAAGTGGAGGCAAATTAAAAAGAGTAGAGAAAGTCACTAGTGTAAATTGCTTCCCAATATAATCTCTTGAGTTCATATTTAATAAAGATAAGTTACTCTATCAACAATTGTTCCGTGTGTGAGGGTATTTGTACATAAATCACTTAGTTGGCTTGGATCTAACATTGATAGGACATAATTGATCTTTAAAAGTTTTATGAAGGATCACAGACTGTGAAATTAAAGGCGGTTGAATTGTCTAACTTTGCTTTTCCATCATGCAGACACCTGCTTTCTTGGTAGTGGAAGTCTTGCTTTTTATGTATTATTGACTAGTCCATCAATTAACTCTGTCTGACAATAATTAACATCATGTTATCGCCTAGTTTATACCAGGAAAACCTACTAAGACTTTCTAAACTGATAAACTGCCAGCTCAAATTTTTTCCTATGTGTCCCACCCCCAATTCACCAAATGTCTAAAGTAGTTATTAAAGCAGTATGGTATATTTTCTTGCTCATGATTTGGTAAAACAGTTTGTTATTTAACCTTGTGTATTGTACAGTGTTGTTATGTGTGATAAGAGCTGGAAAATGTCTAGTAAGTCAGTTTTACTCTATTTCTCTCAATCTATAAAAAGCTATCCCTTCAAACTCTCTGATTATTCATAAACATTGTCACTATCCTTGAAAAAAGAGAATAATTTTGTTAACGGGATAGGGCACAATAGTCAATTAATTATATCTTTGGG